ACACATCCCCATCATGTCTTCCCCGCTCTGTCAATAGGTGGGTTGTTGTCAGACTCTTGCTCTGGCTGCATTAGAATGGCTTAAAAAAATAAAATAAAAAATAAAAAAAATGAAGGCAAAAAGAACAACCGAAAAATACAAACACAGAAGCACGGCTCTTCCTTGCTACCGAGCAGCTCTCCCTGCCAGGCCCTGCTGCCCCGGGGTGCAGCTCAGCAGCCAGGTGCAGCCGGGGGCGGCAGAAGGAGGAGGAGCACCGCAGGACCGGTGCCCGCGGCACCCAGGAGGGGCGGGCGCCGACATCTCCGCTTTTTGCTCCGCTCCGGCGCTCGTCCCCCGGTCCCGACAGCCGCCGCCCGTTCGCACTCCCCCCTTAATGCCTCCTCCCGGCGATCCCGAGGGACCGGCGACCGGAACACCTCCGAGCATCGCTCCTCCGGGGAGACGCACGGCTGCGGCCGGCGCTCCGTCCCTCCCCTCCTCCCGGTACCGCGGAGCGCGCTCCTCACCCGCCTTCTACCGCCCTTCCCGACGCAGGAGCCGCGGGAGGAGGATAATGGAGGCGGCGGCGGCGGGGAGGACACACCGGCGGCAAGTCGCGTGCGCGGGGAGGGACCGCGCGGCGCGGAGGCGGAGGAGGGGCGGCCGCCACCCGCACCGCTCCCGCGGCGCCCCCCGCCGCCACCCCCGGCGGGCACCCGGCGGCGGGGCGCGCCCTTTGTGCGGAGCGGCGCGGCGCGGTAGGTGTGTCCGGCGGCGCGGGCCGGGGCTGCGCGGGCAGGGGGTGCGCGGGCAGGGGGTGTGCCGGCCGCCGGGGCGGAGCGGGGATGCTGGCGGGCCGGGACCCCGCGCTCCGGGCCGCGCCGCGCCCTCCTCCCTCTCTCCTTCCCTCCCGCCCGCCCGCCCCGCCGCCCCTCCTCACCTCTCCGCTGCCCGCCTCGGCCCCGCAGGCCGCGCGGAACCGCCGCAGGTTGATGCCGATGGCGGCCGAAACCTGGAGAGCCGCGTCGAAGCCCGGTCCCACCCCGGCCGCGGGGCCCCCGGAGCCGCCGGAGCCCGGCGCTGCCCCGCCTCCCCCGCTTCCCGCCGCCCCGCCGCCGGAGCACGGGCCGCCGCGCTCCCCGTCGCCCGCCGCCTCCGGGGCCGCCGGTTCGGCCGCTCGCAGGCTCCGCACGGCCGGCACCCGCAGCCGGGACCCCCCCAGCCCTCGGCGGCCCCATCCGCCGCTGCCGGGCCGGGCAGGGAAGCGCCACCGACCGCTGTGCGCCATCTTTACTGTGAGGCGACGAGCCAGAGAGCGGGGCCGGGCCGCACCCCCGCGCCCTGCATATCTCGTCGTCGGCCCGCAAAGGTCCTGCATAAGAATCTGAGTTATGCAGGTTGCGGGGCTCCGCCATCTCGCCGCCCCGGCACGTGGGTAAGCCGCGCGCGACCGATGCGAGCCCGGCATAACGCTGGGCGATATACAGAGTCCCGGGCAAAGGCTCCAGCACGCCCCCTCGACCTGAATAGCGCAGTAAGCCGCCGCGGCAGCTCATCATAACCCGCAGCGCTATACAGATGCGGGGCACCGCGCACGCCAGCCCCAGAACCGGGCTGTTTCACAAGACGGCCGTAAGCAACCCACATAACCGTAACGGCAATGCCGAGCGAGAGCGTGAGTCCCGGCTACCCGGGACCGCGCATAAGACATAAGGCGCCCCGCGAGCCCCCAGTATAGCGCCAGGCCGTATGCGGGGCGCGGGGCTTCCGCTCGGCGCAGCCCCGGGTCGGGCGCGGGGCGCGAGGCCGGCGGCCTGCAGGCGGGCGACGGCCTCGCGGGGTTCGGCGGGGGGGAAAGAGAGGGGGCCGCGATGCGGAGGGCGGCCGCAAAGCCCTCGGGCCGGCCCGGGCTCCAGGCCCGCCGCAGGTAGGTGCCTGAGGCCCCGCCGCTCTCCCCCCGCCTCGCTCCCTGCCTACCTGCCGCTCCCAGGGGTCGCGGGGTCCGTCCCGCTGTCGTCGCCGCTTAGGAGCGGGTTTGGTGCCGGAGAGAGGCCGGAGCCCAGCAGCCCTGATGTCACGGCGAGGCCTCACCTCCGCTCTGCGCCGTGCGGGGAGAACGGGGTTAAATTCCTACAAGTGCCGCTTTGTTCCCTTGGAAAACGGCGCTGCCCAGACACGAGCCGCGGCTGTCAGGGAAAAACGGTGTGTGCAGGATGGAAATACCTGCAAATGGAAACGAACGGGCTGTGCGGGCTGGTTGGGGTGGGGGAGAGGATTTTTCATCGGGACCTCAGTGTCTGTTAAAATAAGGTGGGTTCTGCCGCTCCAGGGAGCATGAAGAGGACTGGAGCATGGCCAAGCCTTTAGCAGTCAAGTTTAACTTCGTGTTCCCAATGAAGGGAAGCTGCAGCACAGGGCCCAGAGCTGCCTGGTTTGGCTGCAAGCTTTCAGCCTGGCAAAAGCAGAACACGCAAGTGGCACTGGAGGTTCTTGCAGACTTGCCCTTCTGCAGAGCTGTCGTGCTTTTAATCACAGAATGGCCATGGGTGGAAGGGACCTCAAGGATCATGAATCTCTAACCCCCCTGCCACACGCAGGGCCACCAATCTACATATTTAATACTAATCCCACACTTGACCTCTCTGTCACCCAGTATATGTGCTACAACCCACCTCTATGAGGCTCAACAGGTTCCCCTCGCAGCTGGATGATGGATTATGGAACTGGAACGCCCAGCAGCAGTTCATAAGACTGTCATTCAGCAGCAGAAGAAACGAGCCCCTCCACACACATTAATCATGTGCTTACTTGTGTAACAGGCTCCTCCAATACGCCGGACCCACTGTGTACAACCACACTTGGGATTCGCTGCAGTCTCCTGCAACGTATCTGACAGCAGTGTGAGAGAAGAGGCAGGAGAGCCCTTCCCAAGCAGCTGGAGACAGCCATGCTTTAGTTAAGTGCCATTCAGTTACTTGACACAGAGCAATCAGCCCCAAACACCCAATACACACTAGGATGTGCATAGGTATCGTTGAGCAAGGAAAAAGCACCCTGCTTGCGCGTGCCCTCACTGCTCAGCTGGGGCATCAGGCTTCAGCCCTTTGTTAGAGTCACACCTTCAGAGGTTGGTGAAAAATAACAGTGCATATCAAAGTCACTAATGGCTGCACCCAACAATTTCCAGGTGTGAAAGGGCTCTTCTAGGCCCACAGCGCTCGGCTGTACCAGGCGCAAACACTGACCTCAGAAGCATTTGGGGAAAAGAGAAAGCAAGGCAGTAGCTCTGACCACAGGTTGGAAGCCCAACTCCTGATGCACTTACCTGTGAAAGCCCATAAGTTCTTTCAGCTTTGTTTTCCCCATCTGTCTTGTGCAGATGATTAGCACCTTGGTCACAGGTGTAAGAATTCCAGCAATGAAGTCTCTGGCAAACCTTGCATGGAAAGGGCTGAGAGTGTCTCAGACTCCAAGAAATAACTCCAGTGCTGCCTTGTCACCTTGTAACCCATGCTGTGCAGCTGCTCGCCTCAAAGCTAGCTCGAGCAATCTCTCCTGTCTATGCATCCTTTGTTAGCAGTGAGAACTGTGGCCCTATCACTGGGGAGCTGTGCTCTCTCCAGGCCATCCTGTGCTGCCTGGTATCTGGATCAGGAGCCCAGTGGGGAGCTGCAGGAGGTCCTCCTGTGAAGCTGTGCTCCCTTCAAACAGCGGTGGTGCAGTTATCTGTTCCACAGTGAATTCTGAACACCAGGCCATTGGCCTCTGGGATGGGACATGGACAGCACACGCAGATTACAAGAGAAAATAGTGCTGCCCATCAGCATCTTGTGCTCCACTTTCTCAGAAGCGCTCCCACAGCTGCTGGGTCAAGGACCCTTCTGTGCAACAGAAATGCATTGTCTGTTGGCAGCCTGCTGTGATGCCAAGCAGACAGCAGTAGCTGAAGCCCATGGTCAGTCAACAGAACTGCAGGCACAGCAGCACTCCAGTTACCAGCTCTGGAAAAACAACCAGAGTAACACTTGCACATCTCCAATGTGCTACTTGCTGCCTGTGGCTGCTTCCTGTGCTGCCTCTCCAAAGCGTCCCAGAGACCACACAAGGCTTCTTCCTGCCACGAACTGCTGGGTGAGTTGAGACTGCTGCAGGCACAAAAGGCAGCTCTGCCACAAGTACCTCCCCAGAGCTGTGAGCGACGTGGGGCAGCCGGGCTGAGGGTCACCAAGGAACTTAACACAAAGCGCAGGGGATCAAAGGACCACCTGAGAACAGTCCCAGGTAATGCAGCAACAAGAAGCAATACTGACTGGAGACCATTTTCTAAGACAGTAAAGACAATTTTAAAAAACCAACCAGTTAAGCCTCATCCAAACAAGACTGAAACCTTCAAAGACCTCCTTTTAAAATTAGAGAGGAGGGGATGGTGTTGCAATGCAGTTAATCTTGCTAAGTTGCTATATAGATATGGCTGTACAGAATTTGTTTACAAATAAGCAGGGCTGTGAACTTCTAGACAGCTCACACTTTTAGCCATGTGTGACTTAAGATGATGTGTACAGTACCATTCTGCTTACCTTTAAAGTCTTCCAGCACAAGTTTCACCCAAAACCAAACTGCACAGAATAATGCTGTAAGACCATACAATACACACAATGCCAAGGTATCCTTCGACACCTTAAAATACTGCGAGTTCTTGCACGTTCTCACTGTCTGATGTTAAATACGTTCAGAAACAAGTGAAAGCTTTTATATAGTCAGTTTGAAATTGCTTTACTTTCGCAGCACTGTGCTTGTTACACAGAAATAACGATCGAGCAGCAGAAATGACCCAAGCCAGCTTTAATGCTGCCACCTCATGTTTTGAGGGAGAGGGAGAGGAAAGCGAGTCACTTCACCAGCATGTGCTGCTGTGCTAAGGGGACTGCCCTTCAGGCAGCTGTGTTAGAGAAGCCATTGGTGACACTGGTGACACTGCCAGGCTCGCATCCCAACCACCACAAAAAGACCACAACAACTCTACATCAGCTCCTGGCTTTATTTGTGTTACAGGCTCAGGGCCGCAGCAGCAAACGCTGTGTTACCGAGGTCGAGTCTTCAAACATTGTATCCAATCAGGCCTCGTTTGCCTATGATCTCACCAATGTAAAACCACATCAGCACCTCTGTGGCCACCAAACCGTTCCTCAGCGCTTCCTGAAAGAAAAAAAGCCACAGTTTAGAATATTTGCTCCTGCAACAGCTTCCTTTCTTGCTCTTGTGATCAAACACCATGCATGACTAGCAAAGCAGTCATCCAATTGGCAAGACAACAGTTTAAGCCAAAACCAGATGTGCAAAGTTACTGTTTATCACCTTCCTCCACCCCTCAACAGGTCACGCTGCTAAAATGGCTCTGAAACGTTAAATACCACATCAGCTGAGATTTTATTTAGAAGTCATTGTCTTACAGGGCTCTAAAACCATACCTGCAGGAAACAAATCTAAGCTCAGCGCAAGGAACGCACCAAACAGATGACACAGCTTTAAGGCTGCTGGGCAAATCCATTCCCTGCTCTCTCCACTTGAGCAGGTAATGCCAGGAGCCAAGGGAACACAGCGCAGCTCTGGTACAGTTGTGGAAGAGTTGAAACAATGCTGAAACACTGAAACACTTTCAACTCTTGACCTATAAATGCTCCCAGCTTCAAGCCAGCTGACAGCAGCTCAGGAAAGTATGTCAAGCTAGAATGCTGGTGGTGAAACCGTGCCTTGAAAATACCACTGTGTGCTGACTGCCTGCGGCTCACAGACTGCAACTGTCAGAGCCTGAAGAGCCTGCAGAACTCTTCCATCCCTGAGCTCATCCAGGAAAACACGACAAGCTTTTGTGTGTGTAATTTCTTATAAGCCTGGCAGTGAACAGAACACACTGCTGAAATGCCAGCCCTCAGCTCCTGAGTTCAGAACACCTACGTAACACGTATTGGTTCCCATGGGGAATGGTTTCACAAAGAGCTGAACTGGGTTTGCAGAGAACACCACTCTGTGCTCCTTTCTTAACAAACACTGATCTCACTTGCACGACGCACTTCCTCTGCATGTGACAGCCAGCACTGTTCCTTCACAAGCTGTAAATCTTACTCACGCATATTAAACATTTTTTAATTGCTTTCGTGAGCATTAAAGACAATGTGATGCCCTCCACAGGCAAAGCTGAAATCCTCTGTTAGATGAGGTTGCTTAGTGTGTCGAATTAAGCAAAGGCAGCAGCAGGAGGAAGGAAGCTAGTCTGAGCCAGCTTCTCTGCAGGCAGCAGGTAAAAGGCAGCAATAAAGCCTCAAAAACATAAGAGGCAATGGGATGCCTCTTCTGAAGGACTTGAAAGAAACACAGGGAAAGGTCCACAGGTAGATGGTTGAGAAGAAATAATAATTCAAGGGTTGTAGCAAAGGGTCCTTTTAACAGCAAAAAGCAACACAGCGAAAATAAGCTGACTAGCAGAGAATAGAAAGGTCACAATGAATAACACGTGCCTTAATGTGCCTCAGTGATTACAAGCATTATCAAAACCTCATCTAAAATGAGGGATTCTCCTGAGTGATGGCAAATTTACCCCAGCTGACTGACTTGTTCCTTATCCAACTGATCAGATTTTCATATTCATTGCAGCTCTGAGTTGGGGAGCGTGTCACCAATAAAGACACAGCCAAACTGCAGTAGTGGATGACCTAACATCAGGCTCCAGGCAGAAAATGCAGCCTCAGCTCCTCACAGATATGCAGGCAATGAGATGGAAGCTCACTGCACTGGGAAGCAGCACCAGAGCTGCACATCTCTGACTTGCAGCACATGAGGATTAAGCAGCCAAGCAGGACACAGGTTGTCCAGCCTGAGCAGGAAGTCCTCAAGGGCAGTACGAGACAAATATGTTAAAGCTCCTATCTCCACAAGTTACTTCAGCTTAAAATACCATCCTTATAAGACACATCCAAAGACAATCGTTGTCTTCACCTGTAACTGAGCCTTATCAGAATTATTCTGAACAGATCCTAAGCCTCATGACACCAAAACACTCTGGAGATTAAACACACTTTAGAATACTTAATAGGTACCAGGAACGAGAAAACAGAAAACAAGCTGAACGCCTGTTTGCTACACAGCTCTATCACACTGCTACTAACAGACACCAAGGTCAGGATCAGAAACGCCCACGGAGGACAGAAGGACTGCAGATGCAAAGCACAAAGCCCAACCCCTGGCTTTGTGAACACTCCTAATGCAAACGCAGCAGGGTAGAAGCACCCAATAACTACAGACGTATGACTGAACAGATACTGAGCCAGTCACTGCTCTGAGGGCAGATTTTAGCTGGTTGTTTTTGGTTTTCTTTGGAAAACAGTCTTCCAAGCACCCTCGTTTAAGCAGGCAACAATTAGCAGAAGCAGAGCTCTGGATGCAATAAGGCAGGCTGCAGTGAGCAGCCCTACCTGGGATCTGTTAACCAGAACAGAAGCACAGCCTCCTATTCACGTCCATCCCCACCCAGCCGTTACCTTCACCGTGAGCTGCGTCAGGCGACCGGACTGAAAGCTCCTGACCATGGATTTCATGCTGTCGATGGCTTTGGGGATCTCACCGGGAGTCGGAGGCACAAGCTCGACCTTGGCATAGTACCAGAACGTGGCCAGACGAGGCTTGGAGTAGGCCACGGCAGCTAGAAGGGACAAAAGGAGCAGCGCGCAGCTGAGCCCGGCGGTGGGCGGCGGGCTGCGCTCACACGCTTCCCTCCCGGCCCCCGGCCCGGCGCCCTTCCCCGCCGTCGCAGCGCACGGAGAACCGCGGCCGGACCTCCCGCCCCGTGCCACGTCGGCGCAGAGCGGCCGCCCGGCGCTCACCGCTCAGCAGCTGAGGCCCGCGGGTGCTCAGGCGCTGCACCAGCTTCTGCGCGGCCTGCGCCATGCCTCAAAGTCACCCCGCTGCCGCCGCAGGACCCCGCCTGCCCGCGGCGCCTGCTTTTCGTGCTCCCGTCAGGCGTCTGCCGCGGGCAGCCCGCGCGGAGCCACAAGGACCCCGCACCACGCGCGCGGGGCGGAGCGCGGCGACCCGAGGTCCCCGGGTTCGAGACCCGCGCGATGCCGGCCCTCCCCGTGCCCCCAAACGCGGCGATAAACCAGGCGAGGGACGGTGTGAAGGCAAAGAGGATTTATAGCGTTCCTCGGGAGAACGTACACAGCCTTGGGCAGGGAGGCAACGCGGCTTCGGAAGAGCTCTGAAACAACAGGTGTTCTCATTCACCGACCGCTAATTACAAGCTCCTCCAAAAGAACGAGCAGCCTCGTCATCCCTCCTGGCTAAAGCAGAAGCTTTTCTGCAACTAATTTCTCCCCGCAGGAGCTCTATGAGCTGCTAGACCTTCACGACCGACTGTACAAGTATCTAAATATTGCATTTTGTCACCCCTTAGTCCCATATATCATCTGAAAAAGAAACACCGTCCATGGTCAGCACATACACAGTTGCAGAACTGTCCCCTTTCAGTCCATGTCCCCCTCTGAACTTCAGAGCTGCTGCAGATGCAAAGGCATCACTTTCACAGTAAACAAGATTACATCATTTAAACAACTTGGAAGTCAACAGCAACAGAACAGAGGCTGGGGTAGCAAAGAACATTTTTGGTGTCACTGGAAAAGTAACATGGCAGTTGTTAGCCAACACAGAGAACAGTTAGTATAGGGACAGGGCAATAGGACAATCAGAAGAGGCTGAAACTTCCCAAGATGCAGAGGTGAGGAAGCTACAGTGCAGTGGAAATTCCTGGTATTAAACAATAATTCTTGAAAGGAAAGACAGAATAAGAGAGAAAAGGTACTAGGAGAGATTCCAGATGTGGTGCAAATGCACCGGATGTATTCCTCATTCACACGGCAGGTTTCATGGATGCTCTGGAGAAACTGCCACCACCACTGCAAGGCATTTATCTCGCCAATGATTGCATGTCTGGGTATGGAGATCTTTGTTCTCAGTTCAGTGTGTCCTCCAGCTCCTCCTTCTGCTTTTTTCTTTCTGCAAGCCACTGCTGAATCTTCTCTTTAAGCTCCCTGTTTGGTCTAATCTGGTCCATAGTGAGTGGGCTCCGATTAAAAGGATCTGTCTGATCACTGAAAGAGAGCATTGAGGAGATTACCTTGACAGCCCATTTGCTAGTGAAAAAAACAAAAAGACTGGTCAGGAAGATTGGTGCAATCTTCCTGCTGTTAAGTGAATTTACTGAGCCAACACTGAGCCCACGTGTCACTGGATATCATTAGATAAGTGAAATGTATTACCTGTATACCCCACCCTATCCCAAGCTTTCAACTTGGAAAAGCACAAGTCCTTGCCCCACGAAAAGCAGTCAGTGAGAAAGGAAGCTTAACATAAGCAAGGATGCACTTAAGCCTACATTTCATACCTCAGCAGGTGCCGGGCTATGGTTGACCGATCCACAGTGACACGGGATGAAGGCAGGATTACTGGGTCAGACATCAGAGTGCTCATGATAGGATCCAGGAACTCATCACAAGCATCTGCATATGTCTCCTCCTCCTGCTGCTGACGGTCTGCAAGAGACTGGCAGGCAAACACAGCTTTTAAAATCCCAGAGTTCCCAGTGCTGTTCCAATTCCTTCAAAAACAGGTTTGCTGTTTGCTTGTAACATCACCGTGACTGAGAAAACACTTCACTGGAACACACAAGTATCAGAGCTGGGCAGGGTGGTGGCTGTTTAACAGAGGCACTGTTAAAACTACAGAAACGTAGAACAGGTAGGGGAGCCTGATTTACACAAACACATTTGCCACTAGAAGCTGACAAACTTCAATAGCCAAGCCTCACTGTAAGCCACCACGCACTTCTTTTCTCATGCTGTGCTCATACATCTGTAGATGCATTCAGGAAATGCTAAAACTTATAGGGGTCTGTGCCACAAAGGAGCCTTCTCAGCTGTCCAAACATACACTTCAGATAAAGCACTGCTCCCCAGAACTGCAGCTTCATGGCAAAGGTGCAGCCATGAACAGATGGAAAAGGATACCAGTTTCCTTTCCTTCTGGCTTTTATCCTATCTACTTCTCACCTTGATCCTCTCAGCCAGGTTACTGAAAGCCACTATCATGTTGCCAGGCTTATTGATTTTCTTCAGAACCCTTACTGTCTGGGCAAAGAGAGTTGGTGAATAGGAACGGCCGTCCTTCGGTACTGTGGCACAGAAGTTTTCTTCATCCCTGGACCACAATTTGAAAGAAAACAAGAGCTTAAGAATTCATATTCCTCTGGCTGCAAAACACAGTGCCCTCAACAGCTGTGCTACCAGAGCAAGGAACTGGAGTTACATGGTATCGAGAGAAAAGCTTGACTGTAATCAAATGTTTTTCCTAGGTCCTCTCCACAGACGGGATGAATTTAACTGTGATTACGCTCAACTTCCACTCCTACTAGCTGCACTGCAGCTGTCTGCCCTGTGTAATCCAACAACAGTTACAGAAAAGCACACCATGCTTCTGGAAGGCCCGCTAAGGACTTCTGTTCACACAGCCCCTATGAAAACACTCCCACCCTGTGGCAAAGGAGGTCACAGGGCTCTGCTACCCCAGATGTTCACCTAACTGCAGCTGCAGCTCCCATCCCACTGCAGGTTTTGCTGTGCACATCACAGCCAGTCCCACTTTAGGCCAAATTAGATTTCCAATTCCTTGCAAACATCATCAGTGTCCAAGAGACAACAAAAACCTGTTTATACTTAAAAGCACCCAAAGGCCTTTCTTCTCCACGAGCGCTTCTGACATCCCACCTCCAGCACTCCCTTGTCACATACCCAAGGTTCAGGTAGATCGTACAGATGTCAGAAACTAGCTGCTGTGGTTTGAAGTCAAACTCGCTGAAATCCTTGACTTTCAAAGCTCCCATTTTAGGGCCAACCAGGTGTTGCAGAAAATAGTTTAGCATGGAGATGATGCGTTCAGCAAGGAAGGGATGCACAAACAGGGACTTGATTTCTGGAACAGAAACCAATAGTTCCCTGAGCTTCACGGTAATCCAGTCCCTCTCTGACAATCCTTAAACCCAATCACACCCGCCCAATCCCCAGGCAATGCAGCTCTGTCTCAGCAGGCAGGATTTGCTCCTCCTACCTGATGTCAGGAAGGCCAGAGTACCGATGGTTTCGTTGGACATGATGTTGTGGAATCGAGCCAGCTGACCAAACATCTGCAGGCTGGACTCCTTCTCCCGACGAGCCTCCTGGGACAGGCTGTCCCACTCACCACGGTCCTTCTCTATCTGCTGAATTTTAATCTTACTCAGGTACTGCAAAAACACAGCAGGGAAACAGATGGGAGCAGCTGCGTGAGTAAAGCAGGCTGAGATGCTTTCCTTTCAACCAGTCACTTCAGGGCACAGAAGAGGCACACGTGTTTGATAGAGAAGCATGGAACACATCTCCTACAGCAGCCTCAGGAGAACAAGCAACAAATAGGCAGCAACAGCTAACCCAGAGTGCTCCCTGATCACTGCCTGAGAGCATTAGCAGGGAGATGCTAAAAACCAGAATGCCTGTAATGAATATGGATTACATTAGGATTGCTCCTCGTAGAACCTTCGTTCTGTGACCTTTGTAGGCAGAAAAGAAACCTTAGTGAACTAAGAAAACTGTCAGAGAGATCCAGCACAGCTTTTGAGTGCTTAGCACAGAGAACATCCACGTTCCAAATCCTCTGGTCAATCAGTACAATGTTACCATCTCTTTCTAAGGCAAATTCCACTTTAACACATCTAGGTAACATTAACTGAAAGCATCAAGCCTCACTGCTCATCTGCCTGATCTTAGGAGGCAGAAAAACCAAAGCATTTTCAAGAGTGGAATGCCATGAGTTAATTTCAAAAGCTGTAACAGGCAAGAAATAAGAGCTCACCTGTGTTACAACGCCTTGGTGTTCTCACCACCCTAGGAAACTTAATGGCAAGACCTCAGATATTATCTGCTCCACTCTGACAGGGGCCAGTTATGGAAGGAAAAGGTAGAGCACTTGAAAGGGCTCATAACTGCATAATTTTAATAAAACATACAACTGCTCATACTGACAAATTGTATGAAGTCTGCAGATGTTCAAAACCAAATGAGCAACATCCACGTGACCTGCCTGATCTGCCAGCCTCCCTTCTGCCACAGGTCAAAGCTCCACAAAAGCACTTTCTGGCAGCACCAAGAGGCTCTGGAAGGCATGGTGAGACAATCATCACACATCAGGGACACGAATTCAGCTGAAACTTGCCTTGTAAACCTAGTGAAAAATTGCCTAGAGACAAAAGGTCCTTATTAGCCTACACCACCTGAGGGAAGGCCAGGGGGATTTGATAATCAAAAACTGCAGCACTCATTTAAAGCCTGGCTGCATCCAGATTAACAACAGGCAGGTTTCCTTCTGACTCTGCTAGCACTTCATTCTCCATCTGGGAAGAAAAAAGAAAGATTTCTGCTTCTTTTTGTTCTGATCCATCTCCCAGGATGAAGGGGAATGGAATCAAGTGCCCTGTGAGAGCCATCCCAGACCCCATCATACTCCTGCCTTAATCCCTTCCATGGTGTTTGCTACACCAGACTTGATGCTTGCAAGATCCTGAACCTGGCTCAGCTGAGTTTCCCAGCAAGTGTCTACTGCAAGGATTCACCCAAAGAGCAAAAGTATATTTATACTGGTCTGGAGATAAAAGCTCACTGCTGTAATCAGCCACCTAAAAGGGAGTAAGAACCATTTCTACACGATGCCTGCAGCACACACACAAAACCCTACCTGTATGGCTTCATCCAACAGGAAAATTGCATCGTTCATGAGCAAATTAAGGAAGCGCAGGAAAAGAGGGGGATTCATTGCTTCTAGATTCTCTGAGGCATAATCAGCCAAAGCCTGCAAACAAGACAGCGACTGTCAATGCTCTGCCACAGTCCAAACTGCAAGACACAAATCTGT